GAAGCTAACAATTCAGTTCCTCGTCTGTCAGAACTCTACTGGGACGTCTTTTCTTATCAGAGACAATCCTCACTTTATTGGGACTAATGGTTAAAGTGTGTTTATTATTATAAAGTTTATTTGATAGGGACAGACACACATCGACATAGACAAACTGAATAAAACAGTAGTCCCATGTTTGCATCATGGAGCAATAGCAACAGCTAATTCGCAGCCCTTGTCCCTAGTTGGGCTTTTTAAAACATAACTCTAAAAATTGAAGTCATAATCATTTAAAATAGCACAACATAATGTATACAAACAGAAAAATGTAAAACATCAAAAATGGGTACAGTTCTGTTTTTGACATAACCAAAGTTTTGTTTGATTTTCGACAATACTAAAACTGGTTACAGACTTTAAATGAACAGGAAGTGAGTTGCAAGCTGCAGATCCTCTCACAGGCAGAGCACTTTGAGCAACAGTGGTTCTTCGAAAGGAGACCTTACAATTTCCATCCAAAGCCGCTCTGGTAGATCTGCTATTGCCCTGCAGTCTCTGTATACAAGCGCTTAATAATGTAGGTGCAAGTCCATTTAAACACTTAGAAATCAATTTTAATACATTATAATTTAGAAAATTTGTAAAATCCAAAATGCCAAATTTAACCAAAATGTGACAGTGATGGAATCTAATCGGCTTTTGATATATAACCTTTAAGGCCCGATTATAGAGACTTGCTAATGGTTTGAGTATAGTTTGATTAGTCTGAGACCAGACAGTAGCTCCGTAGGTAAAATGTGAGAGGATCAGTGAGTTCAAAAACATCTCTGCACAGTGAAGTGTCAAACAATGTCTAATAATTTTAAAACAATTTATATTCGATCTAACAGTTTTGCAGATTGTATCAACATGGCTCCTAAAATTTAACTGAGCATCCAGAATTATTCTTGTGATACTTGTTCAATAGGGTCCCCATTGATCTGAATATTCAAGGACTGTAATGATGTTTTCTTGATTGAAAAGCAAATGCACTTTGTTTTCTTTGTATTGAGAGTTAAGCAAGAATCCTTTAGCCATGTTGATAATCTCTGCAGACTGTTCTGAAGTATTTCATTAACAACAATACCGCTTTTGTCTGATGTATAAACAATGGTGTCATCAGCATACATTTACAGATTGACTTCAGGACAAATTTCAGGAAGACTATTAACATACAAACTAAAAAGGACCAGACCTAAGATGGTTCCTTGTGGAATCCCTGTTACAATTTTGCAGAAGACAGATTTACTGTTATTAATGACAACACACTGTTCACGATCTTCCAAATATGATTTAAACCAAGACAATGACCGTTCTGAGACGGTCATTGTCTCAGAACGTCATAAATTATGAAAGCCTTGAGATCAGTAAATTGTGATTCACCGTATCAAAGGCCTTTTTCAAATCAAGAAAAACTGCACCAGTAATTTGTCCCTTGTCAAGTGATTGTTTAACCTTTTCAAGCAGCGGTCTCTGTGGAATGTTGACATCTGAAAGCAACCTGAAGCGGATGCAGAAGATTGTTACTTTCTAAATGCAGTAATAGTTGTTCCAGAATAATTTTCTCCAGCACTTTTGACATAACCGGAACCAGACTTATTGGCCTGTAGTTGCTGATTTCATGTGGACTTCCTGATTTAAAAATCGGTTTCACCAAAGCTTTTTTCCATGCATCAGGAAATTGTCCTGTTCTGATGGAAATGTTAGCTATATGAGTTAAAGGTTCTACTAAAATGTTACTGTATTTAAAAAAAAAAACATAGCATCTAAATTATACATATCCTTTGCGAGAGAATTACTTAAGCTGTTAATGGCTTTTTGAACATCAGAGTAATGAATTTCCTTAATCTCAAAGAAATCAGAACACTTTTTGGTCGGGTTTGTACCGTGTAAGTGTCTACAGTGGCATGACAGAGAAACAGTGAATCTCTGTGTCCTTCAAAAGATAAAACACTTACAAAATTGTTAAAGTTATAAAATGAAAAGATAAGATAAGGATCTAACTCCTTCATTCAGTGGCTGAGTCCATGATAACAAATAAAACTTCAGTTTTGTTCAGATTAAGCTCATAATGATTCTCTAACATATTTAGAAAAGCCATAGTAGAATAGAATATAAATATCCCTTATTGTCCCTCAGTGGGGAGATTCCAGTGCAACAGCAGCAAAGTGACAGGCAGCCAAAGCATGTAAGTTAATACAAAGATAAGAATATATATAAAAAACAGAATGAAGATTAAAATAAAGAGCAAAATTTCAACATAAATACTGTGCAGTTATTAAAAGTAACGTACACCGGTCCAAAGGAATATGCAAAAGAGAAGGTTAGTTTAAAAAAAAAAAGTACAAAATGTGCACAGTAAAAAACTATGCACAATAAAACTGTGCAACAACAGAAATATGCCAATACCAGCATGACAAGAGTTATGGATTAAAATGTTCATCAGACAGTTTTGCATATTTAGGAGACTCAGAAAGGTAGAGCAGTCTACCCCCAACACAACTGTGATAATTAATCATATCCATCCTTCAGTACCTTGGGGGAGTTTAAAGTGCTTTGGACCTAAATTAGAGCCTTGCAGGACACCATGGTTTACCGTTATTTATTGTTTTTAACATGTAAAAGCTCCACTACTTAGCTTTACAAAAAATATTTCTGACGTATTACACCCAGAATATGATTTATACAAACAGGCAAATCAAATAATATATGACCAGTAAAACCAAATGTTCTTTATTGGTGTTCTTTACACCAAAGTAGAGTTTAGTTTGCTAATTTTTGTTCCTCACACAATTAGCAATTAATGAGAATCTAGAAACTCCCTTTAAGTAGTTCATACTCCTAATTTTTCCGTATTTTCATATTTTAATCCTGTCAGTTTGTGATGTTTACAATTCATCCCCTTTTGAAAGCTGCGTGGAACAGACAGGCAACCTTGTCAAGGATAAACCTTCAGTGTGGTCAGCATGATACGTGAAATACCTTCAACTATAAAAGTAATTTTGTGATGATGACGTAAATGAGTATCTGAATGGGTGGAAAAAAAGTCATCTCTTTTTCCACCATCACCCAAGATGACGTAGAAATGGTGTAAGAGTTGAATATGGTATCAGTGAGTTGAAGATTGTATCAGTGCAAAGAGAATCAAAGTCAATGCAAAGCGATTTCTGTTCAAGAGCAGCAATGCAGCCGTTCTTCAGGTTCCATTAAAACCTTCATTTCCCACTTTGTGTTCACACATATTCCCAGTAAACAATAGTTTAAGTGAGTTCATTCTAACTTCATACACATTTTATTTAAGTATATTTTTATCTGTTTATGCCTGTGATTGCCTCCTTTCACAATATAACCCGTCTTAAGATCTAAGGTCAGGTGGTACATAGTCCCACCCTGTTTTACTGGTAAACTAAACGTCTGTGATGATACAGGAAGTAAGTGGGTCAAAATGTCCTTCAGCGACAATATTTTAAGACTTGTGAGAAAAATATATTAGTGATGATTTGTGATTGTTTTCTGATGTAGATTATTAAATAAATCAAGCTTCAAAACATGTGAGTGTTCAGGAAGGACAGATGGGAGAGTTATAAAAGCATTAAACTGACAAGGAATGTAATCTTTGTCCCTCTGGTTTATTATTAACGTCTTTCTGTAACCTATAAAGTCAAAGTCAGAGATATGTGTGTGAAAAGGAGTGAAACAGCAAGAAAAACAAAACTACCCTCAAAAGTCAGAGTTTTTAGTAACCAGTGTTGTTATATTGTCTCTTTGGGTTTGATTGTACAACATTCTCCAAGCTCTTTGCAACATCAAGGGCAATCAATGAGGGATAAATAGTCACAGGGCAGGTTTAGCTAATCTATCAAGGTATTTGTTCTGCATTAGAAGGTTTGACATGTTTCTGCAGAACTTCTACTTCTTCCTCTTTTTGAATTTCCCTTCGTCGTCTTTACCACATCCAGATTCCTAAAAGAAAGAAGTTCAGCTGATTCTGTATTTATGCTAACAAGTAGATGAACATATGTACCTAACAGTATGTCTAACAAAACTACACATGCAATAAACTAGAGGTTGTGTAGCATTTTGGAAAAAAAAACCCAAGGAAAATAGTGAGCTCTCTTTAGTGTAATAAAGTAGAGGTGGTTCAAAAATATGTATGTAAACATATTTGAATGTCTTGGATGATCACCTTCAAAACTTATGTAGAGAAACTTGTTGAAACATTTTACCTGTGCTGAATTGGGATTTTATATATATATATATATATATATATATATATAGAGTCTTTTAACGGTTATTCTGATGCATCATCTCTTCTCTGAGGTTCATTACAAATTGCACATTTTTGAATCTCTACTTTGAGTCATACTCTCAGGTAAGATGGCCAGTCAGAGGAATATTCATTTTTATTAAATATAAATTCATGAGAGCACATATTTATAGCCAGGAATCTTGTAATTTTCGGTAAGCTATGACTTTATGGTTTATTTTTTAGAATATATGGTTCTAAAAATTCTTTCAACTATAAAAACCCAACTACAGATTCCTGTCCCTTCACCTGCCTCAGGTATAAATCCTTACAAACTGCAGCTGTTTTGGCTTTAATGAAACATTATTTGAAGCTCCTGAAGACAAAAAATAAACAACAAAAGATATCAATAAAGTGAGAAGACTTTTATTTTATTTTCATCCACTTTTAAGTGAATATAAAGAACTTGGTGGACTGTTTGTTGCTGTTTTGTTGTCCTAACAGCCCATGTGTTTGACCTGTGACACACTTTCAGCTCTTCCGAAAATTTGTGCCAGAGACAGTTTATGATATTGGATAGCAATAAGGAAATAACAGTTTGAAAAAAGCATTGCCTCTGGGGTTTTTTCTGGAAGACATTTAGTGGCCGGTGACGCCCCAGGAGGCGTGGCTAAAGATTAAAACTTCACTCTCAGGCATGATTTCTCATTCATCTTAGGCTCCTAAGCTTTAAGGTGTCATCCACACATAGGTTGTACTGCTTTTAGTATTTTTGTGGAAAAAAATCGCCTTTTTTTAGTACAATGGCTAAAACATTGATTGTGACATTCCTCCTTTGTGTTGCTGTAGCCACTGTTGGTAAGTAGTACTTCTTTTATAAACTATCCTTAAATTATTTTGGTTAGAAGTAGCTGTCAAGGGAAACATCTTTTTCTGTACTAGCTTGATTATTTTGTGCTCACGATGTTAAAATAGTGTCTGTTCTTTCATTAAAGCAGAAACAGCTGTAGTCTATGAAGACAGCAAAGCAGGTGAAGCAACAGTTTAACAGATAAATTATATCTATTACAAAATATTTATCTCATTTTTAAGATTGTAACTGAAATAACCCCTATAAACATGTCGAACACATCCATGGTTATTTTTTTATTTAAGCAATGGTCTCAAACAGAAGGAATTTCAATTTATTTAAGGATAAAAATTAACAATAAGTTGAGTTTGCCTAATTATGTTAAAGCAATTTACAGGTTTAATGTACGAACAACTATATTTATTTTAAAAATAGACAGTGTCTGAAAATCTGAAAGGGTTTGCTCTTTAAAGATGATACAGCTTCTGCTGCAGTTATTTCAGTGACTATAATCGTATTTGGATTTTTCATTCAGAACATGTTTTATTACCAAAAGCAATACTGAGAGTTTTATACTTAGTTGCTGTGGAAGAAACATAACAGAGACAAAAAACCAGTAACCTCCTAAATGATTCAGCTGAATTTGTTATCAATTAGTTAGGAAACATAGAAATTATGCATCGTTAGTTAAACTGAAGCATTTTCTTTAAATAATAACAGATTGATAGCAACGGCAGCATATGTTTTATAACTCAGAACTAATGAAAAACTAACATTTGTTTCCACAGCAGCAACAACGACCAATTCACCACCTACCACAACACCACTACCTACAACCACGAAAACTACAACTACAACAACTAAAGCTCCAACCACAACTATAACTTCAACCACAACAACTAAAGCTCCAACCACAACTATAACTCCAACCACAACAACAAAAGCTCCAACACCTGCACCATCTTCAACAACTACTCCACCAACAGGAACTCCACCTACAGAGGGTTCGAGTGTTTCACCGAATACAGGATCTTCCCAAACGAACGCTCCCTCCACAGCACCAGTGACTGAACCTCCAAAGCCTTCAAGTAATTCAGCTACTTTACAAAAATATAAATAATTTAGAAACCATAGCTAAACATTAAAATACCTCCATTGTGTGTTTGTGTTTCTTGTCACATTATCAAGGTGCTTGTGCTTCAAACCCATGTGGTGGTGGAAGCACCTGTGAGGAACGTTTTGACGAGACTTTCACTTGCTTGTGTCTGCCTGGTGACGTTTATCAGGGTGACTGTCAAAGAGGTGAGTACATGAGAGTAAAGCAACATGGGAATATGGGGCTTTTTTTAAACTAAGTGTAGAAATATGTGCAGATAGACAAGGTGAACAATCTTTATGCAGAATGTCACCAAAAGGACTAATGGTATTTCTAAAATGGCTTTTCAGTAAATCATTAGAAATTTGAATATGTTTGAATATGTTTAATTTGACTTTGAAAAACAGGTTAAAGAAGTAATTATCTAGATTTGCTCTATTGTCTGTTATAAAAAAAAGACTCAGAGATTGACATAATTTTGATAGCCAAATAGCTGCCCCCTGCTGGTCAATCTGAGGACTTTTTATATATGGAGCTAAATTAGTCTCAGAAAGATTCACAACGTTTACGATATTTGTATGTGTACAATGAGATCCACAAGCGTACCAGATGTGTTATACACATAATTCACAAATGTGCTTAACACAATGCATAATTGTGTATCTCAGTATTCACATATGTGTAAACATTTTGTCAAATTTTGTTTCAAACTGCACAAGTGGTAGTAAACTACAAATCTGAAAAATATGCATTCACATAGCCCTTTCTATTTCTTCACAATGAGAACAAGCCCCTGAAGGATTTTTCCCTAGAATATTTCGCTGCTCCTCTCGGTAGTCTCCAGGGACTTTTTATTTTTCCAGGAAAAGAAGAAGAAACTATTGTATTTCAGCAGTGCAGTCTGGAATATTTTTTTATAATACAGTAACTTTAATGAAAGTGCATGTCCTTAATATAATGCGTTTGGACTTCGGGGTGAAGTCAAAAATATATTTCCAGTAAATCTGGTAATGCTCAGATGTCTGAGGTTTTCTTCTGCTTTGAGCGGAACATCACAATTCTAATGCTTAAATATCCCAACTTTTCACCAGCCTTGAACACATCATTCTCACTTTGTTAGAAAGTATCAAAAGTCGAAAGCAGAGGAAGGCTGATCCATGCACTTGTGTTGACTGATCCGTCCACAGCTGGCAATTTGTGCATGCATATTTTCAGATTTATATGTGTATTTTCTTACTACTTGTGCAATTTGAAACGTTAAGTTGACAAACTATTTATGCGAATTTTGAGGCACACATTTAATTATTGTGTATATATTTGTGAATTATGTGATACTCTTACAAATCTCCTTGAAGCCTTGTGGATCTTATTGTATGCGTACAAATATTATTGCATGTGTTGTGAATCTTTATGAGATGAATTTAGCTCCATATTTAAAGCCTTTCAACAGAGTTTTCATTCACTTGAGAAAAAAAAGAAGAAATATCATATGGTCTGTCAGCTGATCAATTAATGATACTATTAATAAGGACAAATTTACTGAATATTTAATCTCATATTTATGACTGAATGTCATTACTATGTCTTTAAAAGCCCAAATCAAATTTAATTCTCAAACTGAACATAAAAAACTGTCAAAAATATGACTTTTAAACTCATAGTAATGACTATGAACCTCAAAAATATGACTGTACATTTTACACCAAAATGGTGACTTTTAAACTCATAAGTATAACATGGAAATCTGAAATTGTTACTTTTAAACTTAAGATTTCACTAATATTGTCAATAATATCATTTTTAAACCTTGCTCAAAATTATAACTCACGATGGAAACTAATATTTTAGAAAATCCTGCCTATAAATTTCAAAATTAAAACTTTTGAAAGCATAATTATTACCCTGAATATCAAAATTTCATCATCTACATTGCTATCTTCAGTTTTTTTTTCAAGTGGTGGAAATTTGCTTCCATTAAAAACTTCAATACGTACCTTGTATATTTATTCTGTGGTTTAGCAAAATCTGAAACAAAGATAAACCACCAAATTCAGCATTTTAAATGTCTTTGTTTATATCATCACAAAAACAATGTAGATGCTAATTAACCATTTCGAACCCTAATATTTAGCAGTATGTTGATCAATGTAAAGTTAATCCTTTTAATTATATAGTTTCAAGTTATATTTAGTTTCAGGTTTAGTTTCAGCATTTCATTTATTAGTTTCAGTCGTAGCAGTGGTGGTAGTAGCATTGTTTGACTTGGACTATATTCAAAGACATTAAAAGGTAATATAATTATTTTTCTTAAAACAATTTTGTTGTCATCTAGTCATTAGGCTAACAGTTAATTTAACTGTTTTTTTATTATTATTATATTTAATTGATAAGCTCTCATTTGTAAATTCAAACTGCTTGAACATTTCTACTTGTGTTTGTGGGATTCTTGTGAAACTTCATCACAGTGATCTTGTTTTTCCAAATAGCCAAGGTTTTCCCTGGACTGCTACAGTTGGGGACACCATATGATGAGAAAATGGCAGACAAAACATCACAAATATTTAATGAGACTGCCAAAAGAATTATTGAAGAGGTAAGCACTCATTTATCTTTCCCTATATTTCATTTTGGCCCAAATGTCATACTTAAAAAATATATTGGGGAGTAATGTTGATGTCACCTGTATTGCACTTAAGATTAACTTAAAAGACAATTTGTTCTTTGAGCCCAAAAACAAACAGAACACTGTTCACTAAAATGATATTTTTAATACACAGATTGACGGACAGTTCACAGGTGCAAAAAATGGATACATTAGAGCTATAGTGCTGGAGCTAAGGTAAGTTTCAGAGTCAAAATAGTATTTTCTATACAATAGTGAATATTTACAGTATGACACCAATTCTCTGCTTAGTGCAATATTCCTTAATTATGACATTTTTTCAAATAGGGAACAAAACGCTAATGCGAGGGCACAGAGACAGTCAGGAAACGTTGAAGCATCAGTAGAAATCATATATGAACCAACTGCTGAAATCACGCAAGAAACTGTAACAGAAACCATGAAAGATGTCGCCTGCACAGGATGTGCACTGGAAGGAACCTTTATCGGTGGGTTTTATACAAATATCTTGTTATTCTGGGTGCTCTAGGCTTTACCTTTCTCCTTTCTCTTATTCTATATGTAGCACATTCATTACACTTATCTTCCAGAATATCTGTGTTATATTATTCAGAAATATGTGGTGTTAAGACTAGTTCCCATTTTTGTTTTGCAACTTAATTTATTCTTCTTTTTATTTTTCTATTATTTTATTTTCTATCATTATGGTTTAGTTTTGTCAGATTTTTTTTTGTTACTACAAACTTATTTTTAATATTCTTGACAAGCATGGCACCACTGCATGGACAAAATATACATGTTATAATTTCTGTCAAGATTTTAAATCTGATGTATGTGCATGTTATGTTATAAAGTTTTCTGATGCCATCAACCTTTTTTTCTATTTCATTCAAAAGTCAAAAACCTTTGTGATTCCAATCCATGTGACACTTCATCTTCAAAGTGCAGTTCTGCAGAGGGCACTTTCCAGTGCACCTGTGGTGATGGCTTTATTGACACAGATTACACTGACAGATTATGCTTGGGTAAGGACATTTAACGATCAAGAAAGTTTAAATGTTTTTTCTGAGCTCTAACTGTAGTGTAATTTTCTGTATTTTAGCATGTCCCAGTGGTCAGAAACCTGTGAACAATGAATGTATAAAGTAAGTGCATCGACCTAACTGTCTGGTTTACTGTTTTCTGCAAGTCCAACGGTTTTAAGTTAAACTATGTTGTTGTTTTTTTCAGTTGTGGCTTTGGTTTGACTGGCTTCAACTGCAAGGACAGTGAGTATACAGTAGTGAAAACCAAAGCATGTTCATGATGATGTTAATTTTTATGTTTGCTTGAGGGGAGGAATTACAATAAGCATACAATTACAATTCACCATGCAATAAGTCACGTGTAAAGCAAATTATTTCTGTCATTTTAAGTGGAAAAACAATTCAGAATTGGGTCAATGACTGAGAAACTGGGGAATATTTTTCTAAGTGTTAAACAGAAAATAGTCTTCAACACTGGTTCTAATGCTGGACCACAGCCATTAGCTGCATGTCTTAGCCCCACAGTGCAGCTACAAAAGCCTTTATTTAAAAAACTATGAGACACATAAAACATCTACTAAAGAAAATTAGATTTTAGCCCAGTGAATTTTCCCTCTAAAGCTATAATAAAATCTTTAAAATCAAATTTTCAATTTTGAGACAGAATGATCTCTAAAATGTGATCCTGTTGTATCAAGATCGTAAAAAGACTGAGACTAATTAGTGACTGCTTCTCTGTTTGCTAGACACGTTGTTGATCGTTGTGATCGTTTGCTGTATCCTCGGCGCTCTGGTGATCGCTACATTGATCGCTTTGCCATTGGTAGCAAAAAAGTAAGTTTGAACTCTGTTCATTTATCGACCTTAGCGACTTCTACAATCACCTTTTTTCTCTAAAACTGCATTCATATTTTTGCAATAGACTGCAAGCTATGCTAGATATGCAATTTTAAACACAACAGGAGAGACATTGTTGCAGTTTTCTGTGTTATTGTTTCTTTCAGATCCAAGAAGAAAAGCTCCAAGAGAAATGAGGAAGACATTGGGAAACCCTACCAAAGTCATTCTGTTGCCAAGGCCCCACTATCCTACAGCAATGGCAACAGCAACGACTTTTCCGCTTCAGTTAAAGAGCCAACAAACAGCCTGGCGAATTCTGGGGCCCCTCGAATCCCACGAGCCACAGCCAACAGCAACTGGGAAAGCAGGACCAACCTGGAGATGACTCCAAGCAACAGTCGACAAAACTTGATTCCTTCAAGGATGAACTCGGTGGGTACACCTCTGCTCGACAACACAAACATCTGTGCTTTATTCACTCACAAATTATGATGTCTCTTCTTCTCTGCTGCAGCGATTCAACAACAACCAAGATGACATGTACTCGTTCTCCCAGAATCGACCCAAAAACCACGCTTATGAGGAGATGCAACCCAAGAGCAACCCTTATTCCCAGAACCGAGCCTCAAACCCTTACGCTCAGACCCGAGGCCAGACAAACCCTTACTTTAATTAAGGAAAGGGAAGCTGAATCACTTCAGGGGTTCCTATATTGGTGTTTTTTCCCCTAGTGACTGCAATTCATTGGAAACCCAATGATGTAAAAGATGTAAACAGAAGCATATCAGCTAAGATGTGCAACGTAATGTAGTAGATATTGTTGTATCATGTGTTCCTTTACTACTTTTAGCTGTTATTGTGTGACTTCTATCCTATAAGCTGTAATAAACCAATCTGCTTTTCATTGTTTAAATCTTTTTAATTCTTGTATTCTGATTCACCCATAGTTCTGTATGCTGATTGAACATGAGTCCATCATTTATTCCATGTTGAAATTTCTTTTTGTTCATCTATGAATTTACTACATTTGTTTTTTGCTCAGCATTTCAGGCTTAATTTGAGTCTCAGTTTTAAGTTTAACTAAGTTTTGGTAAATGAGATGAGCTGAAAATTTCTCCAAATTAGAGAATGTGAAGATGTTCATCATCTTTCAATATATTTTATATAGCGGTAAAATTATTTATAATTCCAAAAGTTTGCAATATTTAGCAATGCTTGTATCCTTTCTCTTTTTGTATTTCATAGTATTATGTTGTATTTAACTCAAAAGCTGCAAATCAGAGATGATCTGTATTTGAAATTTACACTTGCATTTTTTATATGAGTAAATAATAAAGATTGGATTGCCTATTTTTGAGTCTAAAATGTTTTATAAAAAGGATAAAAGGATATTGCTGTTCATTCTGGTCACACAAACATCATTTTAATGTTTCTACCTCTGATTCATACAGTTTAGGTCAAAATTCTCTCATCATGAGAAAACAGGGTAACACTATTTGAAGGGGGTTGAATAAGACTGATATGACACTGTCATAAAAACCTGTCATGAACATGAATAAGCCTTCATGAAT